ATAAAAAAAATTTAAAAAAGATTTAAAAAAAAACAAAAAAATTCACTTAATAAAAAAAAAATTAAAAAAAAAAAAAAAAAACCATAGAATAACCGCGGAGCAATTTTGCTGTCAGGAGTTGCACACATCACAGTATACGAAGCCTTCTAATTCTTTAAGAGATTTATCTAAAAGATTCGCAATATAAATAGAAAGACGTTTTAAATACCACACATGAGTTACTGGGAATGCGAGTTTGATGTAACCCATTTGATATCTTCGTATGCGAGAATCGACAAATTCGACTCTACATTATTCACAAAATTTTGGGTCTCCTTTTTCATCTTCGATTACTCGATAATTTCCACAAGCACAAATTCCCCTTTTTATAGGTCCAAAAATTCTTTCACAAAATAATCAATCTTTTTTCAGATTTATTGATTTTGTAATGAAAAGTATAGGGTTTTGTCACATCTCCAACGATCTCTCCATTAGGCAGGATTTTAGTGGCCCAAGCACTTGTTGCTCTTAGCATCCAGGAGCAATTTGCTCCGTGGAGTTGCTCTTGGCTCCTTCAAGCATTGATTTTTTTAGATATGCTCAGCGTCAATTTTTTTTTTCATTGGGTGATTAATATTTTTTTGTGTCAATTTTTCTCTCTCTTTTTTTTTTTCACTAGGTGATTTATTTTATTTTATAAAAATCTATCATAAATCTTTATAAATCTTCTATATTCTCTCGAAGTTCATTTCGAGAACTATATAATAGATATGATCTAGATGAATATCGAAAATAGTTAAAAGTATATCAAATATGTGAGTTAAAAAATTCGTATAACTCGCCTTTTTTCTTTAAAAAAATCAATTATTTTATTAATATTTATTATTTTTTCACGACAATTTTCTCGATATAATTTCTTTTTTTCCTTGGTGATAGATATATTTTTTATACAAATCTATTTTATCCTTATATAACATGGCACAGAGTATATTAAATCATGTATATTGTTTATTTCCTAAAAGTAATTGCAATAAATCAAAGTAAAACTTAACATAATATTGAAAAATTTTAATACTTAGTCAAAAAGATGTCGATTATTTTATTTGACGATATTGAATATTTTGGATGTATATTAATTTAGGAGGATTAAATTTAATATATCAAAATTGGGTGATTAAATAAAAATCTCAACCTTATTTAAGTGACAAAATATTATATTGTGACTCAACTTATGTTTGGCTCCATTAATTTCTTTCCTCATTTTTCTCTCTTTTATTTTCAGTCGCAGAATCTTCCATAAAATAATATTATACATAAATAAAAAAATTCATTAAATCGATTGAATATTGAACAATAAAAAAGATTCGATTAATTACACGATTTAATTATATTGAATATAGTTATCATCAAATAAGTCCTTTATATGTAAAATAACCACCCGACTAAAATAATGTTTAATATATAAATTATCAGTTCCAATAATTTGGGTTTTTAATTCATGAATCAAGAGAACATTTATCCTATCTCCAGAAAATACATTTCAATTATAGCAACACAAAATTAAGGCCAACTAATTTTTCATCTTGATATTTTAACATCTGAAATTTTTTATATATAAAAGAAATTCGATCGTTTTTAAATTTTTTTTCTTATTGTTACTTTTTCCTCTCGATCAATTAATTTTTTAAATAATCTAATAAAATTTTTGACGTCATTTAGAACATTTTCTAATAAACTTTTAATTTTTTTAACGTCAAAAGTGTGTTATATATGAAAATTATATTTCTATTTATCATTTTAAACAATTAATCAAATTTGTAGATTTATTGAGAGAATTGAATAGATATTTTGACACGTTAATAATTTAATATTAGCTAAAAAATGACATAGTCCGTGCATTGCACGGATGGAAAACCGCTACTAATAAAAACATAGAAAGATAAATGGAAACTCAAATGGCTAACCTTGCAATGATTGAAAAATAGCAAAGCTAAGGCTCCAAGCTACCATTTTTAAACAAATAACGAAAAAATTCTTGTTAAGCCCCTATTTGATAACTATTATTTGAAAACTTTTTTTTTAACATATTTATTGTCAATTATATGTTTACATAATAAAATATTTTACAAGTAAATCTAAAAAATTTCACTATTTTTTAATGACACGTTTTTTTAAAAATCAATATTCAAAACATTATTTTTTCCAAATAATAGTTGTTAAACAGGCTAAATCTTTTAAGTAAATAAATTTTAAAATAAGCAAAAAATTTTTGGTTAAAGTTAAAATTCATGAAGTTCTTACTTTGCATCAAAATTAATGAGAAAAAGGTAAAACTCAAACATGCATTGGATTTTATTTGCAAACCCTAACTCTTACCCCCTAAAACTTCAACATTACTTAAACAAATTTACCTGCCAAAAGCAATATTTAGTGCATGTTCGGGATGTCTTATCTTAAAAATAAGCAATAAATATATAACTTATTTTTTAATGTGAATCCACATACATTTAAAATAAAGTAATTAATCATACATTTAGAGAGGATCTATAAGATAAGTCACTCCAAACATGCTCATAATCGACTCACAAAGTAAAATTTCAAGAAGATTTAGATATCTTCCAGTCAATTAAAATTTTACTTCTATAACTTTCAATTCCTCGCATAGTTGAAAAAAGTACAAAAAACACAAACGTATGCACACGTTTGGTTATACTCATTAATGAATAATTATTCAAAAGTCTTGTTACACAAGAAACGTGTAGAAGAAGTGCAACAAAAATTTAAAAGACAAGTTGATTAAAATAGGTTATAACAAACACATTATAGCATAAAAAATATAGAGTAAATATATATGTACCAGAAATGGATTATCAAATTGGTGCCCAATTCTCATATGCCGGCGGCCCTGTGTGCATTTAAAAATTTCGGTTTGTGGGACCCGCCCTCTTACTGTGAGTATAGGTAAAAGATTCAATAAAAATGTGTAGGTAAATGTAGAATTGTCAGGGTTTGCAGCTAGGGAGAGGATACAAGTGCAGCGTGGCAGAATCTTGTGCTGATGTTTTTCTTTTTTATTTTTTTATTTTTAGTTTCCAATCATTATGTGACACGTGGTGTTTAGATTGAAAACCTGGATCCTATCCCTGTTTTTTTTTTTTTTTTGTCTGCTATATCCATGTGTAAACGTGGACCAAACTGTTTTTGCCATAACATATGGGGCTATAATGGCCCTACTAAATGACGGACAAAGTGAGAAGCCAGCACCAACTCGACAAAGATCTCGATTAATGACAGCCCAACAAAAAAGATTACCTAAAAGGTGGATGAAAAGCACTCACAATAGTTAATAAATGACCCCTATTTTGTCATATGTATTAATGCTTAATTAAACAAAAATAGCATGAACACAAATGAATTTTAAATTATACATGATCTATTATAAACAATAATTGAAATTTGAATATAAGATGGGCAGTTCAAAAAAAAAAAAAAGTGTTGAAATTTTAGTATCATTTCGACATTTATTTAACGTAAAGGAGCTCTAATAGGGATTCCCTTTCTTTTATTCAATAGCTTCTTCCGTGTAAATAATGAAGTACTAACCCATTCTTGAATTACTTCCGAAGTATCATTTTCACTAGAAAGCTCGTCAAATTTGGTGAAAATCTCCTGACTTTGCCGTTCATTTATCGTATCTGACGACACCTGCAAACCAAAATTTGAAACATAAGCGGTTGATAAGCATTTTGGGCACGGGAGAATTGTACTATCCAATATGGTCGTAAGTCAGAGAAAATTACTTTGCAGGCAATGGAGCAAAAGCGATTGGGAAAGTCTTGTATGTGCCTCCCACATTCTTCACACGATGCCCCAGCTTTCGGCTTTGAAGACTTTGCAAATCTTTTGAATTGTGGGCGAGGATTCAAGTGTACTGCTTTTTCACCATTAATTTTATACGTCTGCATGTATATATTATAACCAATTTCATTTATTAAATCGTTAATAAGCGAATTAACTACTAATCATAACAAGAAAATTGAAAAAAAGGACTAGTAATTGAGATTATTAATGATGGATTACCAAATCAAAACAGATAGATACTAATAAGAAGAAGAAGAAGAAGAAACAGCACTAGAGATAAATATATATATTCATCAATTAAATTACCATCAAAATTAAAAATAATGATAATGAACTGTTAATAAATACGAACCTGAATTTGAGAAGAATCGAGATATTTCTGAATATCTTGGAGGCGAACAACATCGTGATAGACGTATTTGCAGATTTGAAGGCAGCGATGAAGGTTGGAGTGAGTCGAAGAAGTTACACAGTTCTTGCAGAAGCAAAGATTACAATCGATACAGAACATATTCTTCCTCAGCTCTCGATGATCAATACACGAATCGAAGAATTTGCTGTGCAGCAAACTGCTCAACCACTCTGGTTTTCGTTTCTTCAATCCAACCTACCAATCAGAAAAACTCAGAATCTCATTCAAATTGAATATTTATAATTGAAATTGAAATTGAAATTCATACTCAAAATCTTTAATTCCTTGCTAAAAATCCCCGGATTGAAACGAGTAAATTAAAACAATAACATTACAGTAAGTAAAATGAAATTCGCAAAAAAATCTATTCAAATTAGCTTAATTCTTTCCCAGAAACACAGAACTGAAACGGATGATTTGATACTAACCATTTTTGTAATAGAGTTGAAGTAGAGAGAATGCAAGAAAAACTGGAGAAATTAAAGTGACATAGAAATGGGAAGAGAAATCTTCTAAAAAAGTTGAAAGAATATAACCTAATAAAATGTTCATGCTCGTAATAATGGAAAGTCGTTCACTATTGGTGGCAAAAAAGAAGCGATGATGGCCGTTTGATCCACCAGGGTGCATCGGATGGACGAAATGTGGTTTAACTCCGTAATCTGGGCCGTCGCTTCTGGATTCATACGGCGCCGTTTCATCTTTTTCCTATATTAATGAGTAATAACAGCCTTTTCATTTGTAGCATAAATATTGGAATTAAAATCTAGAAATTTGTAAACACTTAATCAATCTTATTACATGACAGATTGTAAGATATGAGAATCTTGATCAAATAAAATTTGAAGACATTCAAACATCAACAATGTTGACAAATTAAAGTGGAATTTAAGTCAAATTGCTTGACAATGGGTGAGTAATTGAGATGTTCAATATTTACAGCTTTCCTTGTTTGCTCAAGTGTGTTCGAATATGAATGACTTGTTCTTTTAACTTACAAATTCTTACTTTGACTCGTGATTTATTTATTTATTTAGAGAAGGATGTCACAATTTAGTACTCTTAATCGAGTGGACTATTATTATTATTATTATTATTATCATCTTTCTCACGATGGTATTCTGAGTCCATGTTAAGTATTTCTTCCAGAATTTTGAGTTTAGGCTTGATCCTAGACTTCTCTTGAATGCTAATGTAACAATTGAATCGTGGCAATTGACAATTTCTATTCTTCTAGCATCTCCCTAGTCGCAATCCATATCAAAGCTCATAAATGTGGAATGGATTATGTTTAGATAATTAATTTAGAAAAGAATAAAGTTCAGTGACAAATTAAAATACCCCTATAATTTTAGTGATATGTCGAACTTTTTACCCTACTGTCTCACAAGGTTTCCTCCATCTAAAAATGTGAAGCCTTCACATATAAGATGTTCATGGGGTCGTCAACCCAATTGGGCTCCTGCAACCTCTTAGGTATGATCAATTGATTACCCGCAAGTGGACAGGATTGTGAGCAAGTAATAAAGTGATATGTACAGTGTCGAACACATGAGGACTATGTGTTTGATCCAGTTAAAGCTAACACTACCCTTAATCGAATAGCAAAATCAATTTATAACTAAACAATATAAAATCTATCAACTAATAGAAAGCAATGTAAAGAAAATTTATCAAATTCGAGAGTCGTATTGCTAAGATATCGATCCCCCTTACTACTTAATTTTTTATTGAACAATTTAAATCGACAATTTGAAATCATGCTTGTTAGTCAATGTTTCTGTTTTATTTAAAAGCTTATCTCAATAGCAATTAAGTCTAATCATATACTTGATTTTTTTATATCTCTATGAAAAATACGAACATTTAAGAAAACATTGATGAGCTAGAACATCTTTAACAACCATGTGAAGCATAGATGTATATCTCTATTCTCTATCAAACCTCACAATGTTTATTATTTTGTGCTAATGATCCTATTGTCTCTCTCGATAATAACAAAATCTCTAGTCATATTATCATTTGGTTTTGTTTCAAGGGTGATCTTAATATGCTAGTTACAATATTTTTTTTATAAGTAACTGCAAATTGATATTAAAATTCGACAATGATATGGCTGCAATAAAAGCATCTTCTATGTGTTCTATGAATTGCTCTACGTCATGTTTAAGTAGATGGACTTGTAGTCTATCAAAAACAGTAACCAAAATAGGGCATATACCCGAAGAGGCTTTTAACATTTATGATTTTCCTCAAATGTAACACACGGTAGAAAATGTCATCTCCGTTGGAATTTGTTTTGATGGGTTGGTTTTGACCAATTTCTAGCAATGATTGTTGAAATTTGAAACACGAGATTTTTATTTGCGAGTAGTATATCGTAGTTTATAATTGTTTGAGATCAATTTTGAATTGAATGTGAAATTAAGATCGAAAGTGATCCGTTGAAGTATAAAATTATTGTAGATTAGAATATCTGAATATAGCGAAACATTTTAGAAAATGTTAATGATTGAAAAATTTGGTCTATTGAACATGTTTTTTATGGCTCTTCAAATAGAAACAGAGTCCAATAAAAATATATTTTTTGATGGACAAGACACAACTTGTGGATGTTATAAATAACAATGTTCTTAAAATCATAAAGTGTTGCATAGTGTAGATGTCAAGACTCGAGCATTACGAGCACAAACGTGTCCAAGTGAGTAATAAAGGATTGTTCTATTTTAAATAATATTTTAATTATTCTAAATCATTAAATAAATAAATAAATAAATAAATAACGCATACCTTGAAAATTTATAGAAACTCAAAACACACTTTTCAAGTTTTCATATATATATATATATATATATATATATTGCATAAATATTGTTTTAACTCTTTGCTTATGGAGAAGTCACTGAAGATTTGGAACATAAATTGGGCATAGAAACAAGATGGAGAATGAAAAATGCTTTGATTTTTTCTTAAATAACAAATGCTCTAATATGGAACATAAATAAAATGGAGTCGGGGGTTATTTGTGGATTGAGTTTGGGCCAGGGTAATTTTTTGACTTAGTTCTATTTGAAAATGTGGAAATTACAGATTTCCAGGTGTTTGAAGATTGAAATTCAAAAATCAGGATGAAAGTATCGTTGTTCAAAAATCAGGTACGAATATAATAACTCCAAACCCTAATTCAATTACAATCCCTAATTTTAATTCATTCATCCCACTCCAACTCTCATTCTCACTCATTGGCTCCCTCTTCCTCTCTTCTCTTCCTCCTTGTCACACGTGACCTCCGCCGCCATAACACCGACCATCGGACACCAACGAGTCTCCACCACGTAAGCAACACTGGCGGTGCTGCTGTGATAAAGAGATCGAAGATGGCAATCAACGTTGTTTGATGTGCTGACATTTAAATCGATGCTGTGAGATATTGGTGTGGTTGGTTGCGGTGGTGGTGGGTATGGGTGTGGTGGTGGCGGCGGGCGTTTAATGCAACTTCGCTTGGAGCACGTGCACCAGTGTGTGGGCTGGCAAATGGATTGATGTGGGAGAGGCACAACTATGCAGTAATCGTTCGATCATGTCTTGCGATTTTAGTGGTGGTGGCACACCGATGTGCAATGGTGTGTTGACCTCTGTAGTGGTGCATATATGGTGTGGTGGGTTGGTGGCCTCTAATCTGGTTGGTAGTGGACCGGTGGTACCGTGGTGATTTGGGTTCATAGGTTCGAATTTGGTTGGTGGTGGTGTTGTGGGTGCAGTTGTCTTGGTGGTGTGGTGAATTGGGTGGTGGTAGAGATGTTGGTGAGATTGTTGGTTGTGTATTGGTGGTGGGTTTGGTGGTAGCAGTAATGGTGGTTTTTGGCGACAGTGGAGGTGGTGGTTGGTGGCTGGAGAGTTGATTATTTGTTGTTTTGTGTTTGCAGTGGTATATGACCACTTTTTGACGCATGTGACCAACCATTTAGTTATCTGTGAACAACTGTTTAAGTGTAATCTAGGAATCTGAAAATTTGTGACCTGTAAATTTTTTATCTGTGGCATCGAAATAATCAGTGACTTACAAAATTTTTAATTTGTGACGTTGAAACAATCTGTAACTAATTAATTTGATGATATGTGACCAGTAAATAAATTTGTGACCTATAATTATGAATCTGTGATCATTATTTAATAAATATTTTTAATTAATTAAATATATACCTGAATTTTGAATTATCAAATTATTTACTTGATTTTTGAAATGAAGTAAAGAATACATCTGAAATATGAATTTTTCCCTTTGGAAATTTAAAAATGGTTGAGCCCCAGTAAACGTAAATATGATCCCCTTTTACCCGCCTCACCTTTATGCAAGCCATTTTTCCGAACCCTGAGCTTGAGCAACCTCTTAGAACACTAAGGGCATCTCCAATGGATGCACCAAATCACCAAAATTCACCAAATTTTGGTGTAAAATTTTTCCAATATGGCACCAAAGTTTGCATTATTTTCGTTCAAAGTCAATTTTATTAGATTACCTTATTCAACTGGTAAATTGGATTATTTATTAGAAAATGTGCTAATTACCTTATTCAACTGGTAATTTGGATGATTTAAGATACGAATGTTACAAAAATCAAAATTTAGAAATCCTGATATTATGAAAAGTGAAATAATAATTCAATACTTTATTTAAATTTAAATAAAAAATCATAAATAAGAATGTTTGAAATTGAATGTTAAAGCGAGTTGAGATCTGTTATCCAATTTTACCGTCCATTCAATTAATTATTGATATATCATTAATAATTAATATGTTATCTCAAATTTATCTTCATTAACTTCACTACTAACCCACTAAGTTGATGATGTGTTAAGAATTAATTGGATAGACAATAAAATTGGACAGCAGATCTCAACTCTGTTGAATAGGGGAGCAGAGACAGGGAACATTGTAACCAAAAAAATTGAACCAATCCCGAATCTTTTGTTTCTTTTATTTTTTTGTATTATTCACATTAAAATTATTTAAAAAAAAAACAAATACATAAAAATGAATAAAATAAATAAACAAGTGCGATAAACGAGAATTTTTAATCCAATTTCTGGCCCCTTCCCGTACTGGCTTCCAAATATCCCCGATGGTGCGGGGATAGTTGCCATTCCTATGTTAAAAGACATGAAAGATTTTGAGGTATACATGAAACATTGTTATAGTTATGAGGCCCCTCACATCATAGCGTTAAGGTTTATCAATGGGTTGAATCCTGAAATTTTGCCTAATGATATTCCTGCATTCCAATCCTTAGACGACGCTTACCAACAGGCCAACTTATGGAACACGTCCTTTCATCTTCGCCAAGCATGTCATAATTTAGGAATATCATCCCAGTCCAAACTATAATATCTTGAGTCTAGTTGCAATCATGGGCGGATTCGGTTCCAGCCCACTGTCACCCAAGCCACACTTGGTTGCAGCCCAGTGTCACCCAAGCCCAGATGCAACATAAATTTTTTTATTTTATTTTAT